GCAAATGAGGGCCTGTAGACAATCGCATGTAGAAAGACGAGGAGTGTACGTGTCCATACGGGGTCGTGTAATTAACAACTTTAGGGACGGGGCTACATGATGTGGGCGCCATCCCCACGCGTGGTTTACTAACGTGGTCATTTTTAGTTTTTCCTATCTTCTTCTACAGTTTTGGTCGAGGTCGAACCCATAATCGCACGTCAAGATACAATTTTACAAGTCGTACGACAAAATCGTATAATGTGAATCTTGAAATATTTGGTTATGGCAACTCGCAAGTCGCAAGAGAAATCGTAATCAAAATCACATAACGTAAATTGCACTTAAGAATCCCCCATTTACACGCTTCTAACTTGTATTTGAACTGACCACAAATTTTGTTAAAGTTTCGTCAATAAATTACCAGTGGAAAGGAGAAGAAAAAATAACTTTTTGTCTCATAGGCACAGCCAAATTATCCCATAGAGCATTGGGCGATTAATTTAACAGCCTCAATTGCAGATATGCTTTGTGCCTCGATCTTTAACAGGGCTGCGCGTGTAGAAAAAGCAACCAAATTTCGGAGCTGAAATTTTCAAACAATTACTTCAAAATATTCAGACATTGAGATACTCAAAAAGTACCTAGTGTTTTCACATAACAATATTTTGAAAACTCTTTCGAATGCAGACATCAATGCGAGGCACCTTGTTTTAATGTAACCCAACAGTTTTTGATACTTTCTATCAGCTAAGTCGTAGAACTCTTTGAGTATTTTTCAATGCGAACACTATAAATGTTAAAAAAATAAGTCAATTTTAACAATGGTGAACTCAAATCAACAATCCCTATAAGTTTTGTTTTTATTTCATGGACGACCTCCATTGCAAAGGCTTTGTTGGCACCTTTTACTATTTTTGCCACCAAAATTACCTACAGTTACCGTTGTCTCCGCAAAAACCCCACAACTTTTGATTTTAAATCATTTAATGTTAATACACTTCCTTACAAATATTCAACGATTATATCCGATTGGGATCCAAACTCCAAGATTTGAATTTGCGCGTCCTTCTGTGGTCAAAAATAATGCACCAAGACGAGAAACAATTTTGTAGAGCCATGGTTTGAGGCATCTCACTCAGTCCATATGTTGCAATATTTTTGAAATCCACCATCCATCAATATACCGCATTTTTTTTACAGAAAACCATGTTTTCTAGAAATACAACCCCGTTGTGATTGTCGTGGACAACCAGCATATATAAGCAAAAAATTATTAATCCGCATGTGAGCAAAGGCGAAGAGTGCATTTTCAAATTTGTTTTTTCGATTTTAACAGCCCTTATGATGGACATTTCATGCCTCAATGAGAATACAAAAATGAAATAATTTTTAATTTCTGATCGAATGACACCAATACCAAGTCTGTAAGTGGTGTAGTTCCGGAGCCTTTGTGACTCAGACAGACAGACAGGTAGACATATCAAGAGCGCCAAAGTGTGCACATTTTATTTTTTGAAAATGAAAGTGTACTAAAAACGGAACTGTCACGTTCAAAACGGGACGTTTGGTCACATCTCACATTCGACTCATACTTATTCGCTAACTTGACTTAAATTCTCAGAGACGCCTATTGTTAGGTACCTATGTTGTTTCTCACAAAGACAGGCCTAACACCTTCTCTGATTAATTAATAAAAACTTCGTGTACGTCATAATTGTGCCTTTAAATCGTCTTATCATTAAAAATACTATAAAAACCTAAATACGAGCACGGAACACGCCAAGCTGTGATCAGAGATGTCGGCATTAGAACCTAAATCGCACAAAATACCGTACCTACTTATAATCAAAAATAAATCAATTATACGGTAAACATCCTGCATAATTACAAATCTTGTTGGTTTGACAGAATAAGGTATAATCAGTCGTCGGTTCGCCCTTCCGAGTTCCGATATAAAGGAATGTGTATGTGTAACTAACATAAACGCTTAAAACGCATGCTAGCAGAAAAATTGCGAGTGTAAATGGGGAAGGTCAGTTACATACAATACAACATTTGTTGGGCTCTGTGTAATCGGATACCCCTGTTTATCGCAACAGTTCTTGTCTTTCTTATTGCAGTTGTAAACCACGCGCAAGTTATTCATTCTACAGCGCTTCCTTGTGGACGCGGAATAACACTAATTTAGTTTGGATTTAACGCACCAGAGGCTTAAATCCAAAACACCGTTGCCAGAATTTAACATGGCATGATCCATCTGTAGTATATTTAAATCTGTGGTTGTACCCTCATTTAAATTTAGTTTTCTTACTAGATTGTTTCGCAGTGAGTATAGTTCGTTTCACTAATAATTTAACATTTCTCATTAGGTCGTTAAGTAGCGGGAATTCCCACTGCGACATTTAAAACAATAGGACAATAGCTCCCATTTAACTAAAAGTCGGCGGTTCTCAATAAAATTTTAATGTTTCAAACGCCAAATTGTCATTGGGGAAACTGGAATGTGTCTACCTATTACCATTAATATGGTATCACCACGATTATTGTCGTTAATGTCCGATCGACGCTTTCCTTAAGGAACTATATTTTAAATATATCGATTATTAAGGAAATGGGCCGATTTATATGAGCACTACAATTTGGCGTTGGAAACATTAAAATTTTATTGAGAACCGCTGACTTATTGGCCGTGAAAAAACCTACAAAATGCATATACATTTTTTTTACGTACAATGAATAGTTTCCCAGTTGTAGCATGACAAAGACTGTGATTGTGGAATTTCTATAACGTGGCCGTTACAATAGGAGGTTTTTCTATGCGCCCAATAGGTGGATAGTGAAAACGTTAAGTACTTTCTCTCCCAAAAATGAGTATCTGTTTTATTTGCAAAAAAAATGTCAAAAAATTTTATTATTATTATTGCTAGTTTACTATCAAAATTAACTCTCATTAGGTCGTTAAGTAGCGGGAAATTCCCACTGCGACATTTAAAACAATAGGACAATAGCCCCCATTTAACTAAGTCAGCGGTTCTCAATAAAATGTTAATGTTTCCAACGCCAAATTGTAGTGCTCGTATAAATCGGCCCATTTCCTTAATAATCGATATATTTAAAATATAGTTCCTTAAGGAAAGCGTCGATAGGACATTAACGACAATAATCGTGTTGATACCAAATTAATGGTAATAGGTAGACACATTCCAGTTTCCCCAATTACAATTTGGCGTTGGAAACATTAAAATTTTATTGAGAACCGCTGACTTAGTTAAATGGGGGCTATTGTTTTAAATGTCGCAGTGGGAATTTCCCGCTACTTAACGACCTAATGAGAGTTAATTTTGATAGTAAACTAGCAATAATAATAATAAAATTATTTACAAGAAGCAGATACCTGGTTCATTAGCAATAACTTAAAACTAAATAAAAATAAAACGCATATCGTGACCTTTTCAACGAACAACAAGGTTACCTCCGGGAAGTGCGCTAAGGTATTAGGAGTGTATGTAGACGACAAATTAACGTGGAACAATCATATCGATCACGTATTTTGTAAATTGTCCAAGTCATTGTTTGTATTAAGGAATTTGAAGCGAGCAGTCGGTATGAATACTTTACGATCCTGTTATTTTTCTTTGGTTCATTCCCACCTACAGTATGGTGTAACATTATGGGGGAATTCCTCCAAAGTAAACAAGATATTTATATTGCAAAAAAAAATAATTCGTATCATAGTAGGAGCCGAATATCTTGCTCATTGTCAACCATTTTTCAAGGAATTACGTATCATGCCGCTACCATGTATTTTCATTTACGCAACATTATTGGATCTACATAAAAACAAGCGTCACTTTGCAACAAATGACTATTCTCATAATTACGGTACTCGAGGCGCAAAAAATATAAGGGTTCCTTATTACAGATTAAGCAAATCAAAAAATAATAGTCCAAGAGTTGTACAAACTATCTTCCAGATCCTGTTAAATGTCAACAATTCAATCAGTTTAAAAATACTATTAAGAACCATCTTCTGAACCACTGCTTTTACTCTGTAAGCGCATACCTAAACACACCCTGTGATTTAATGTAAAATACCTTCTACTGTTTTAAAAAATGTACTATTGTTAATGAATTAGTTAATGAATAATTTTATTGTTGTATTATACTTGCATGTATCAATGTATTTGTTTGTTATTTTATGTACCTATATGTGTATTTTTTTTTATTGGATGCTATGTGTCAATGACGTGTCGAAGCCAAGGATTGGTGGAATGACAAATAAAGATTATTATTAAAATTTTTTGACGACATTTTTTTTTGCAAATAAAACAGATACTCATTTTTGGGAGAGAAAGTTATTAACGTTTTCACTATCCACCTATTGGGCGCATAGAAAAACCTCCTATTGTAACGGTCACGTTATGGAAATTCCACAATCACCTTCTTTGTCATGCTACAACTTGGAAAGTATTCATTATACGTAAAAAAAGTGTATATGCATTTTGTAGGTTTTTTCACGGCCAATAACTTTTGCATTTGCAATTGCGAAAAGTAGAAAATCCGTTTTTTTGTAACTTTGGCGCCATCTATTTCATTCATTTTTCACGTTAGAGCATCCGCTCAATGACAAAAGTTGTAGACAATAATGTCCACAACATTTTTTGTTCAAAGAAATTTTTTCAAAAACTCACCGTTTTCGAGATAAATCGAATCCAAAAACTTTTTGCCCTACGGTACCATCCTGGATTTTTGGAGTTAAGCTTTTCTAAGGTCACTTTAACGATTTATGCAAAAAAAGTTATAAGGTATTTTTTTCCAAAAACGACACTTTTTCGTGCCAGATTGATGAAAGTGTGAAAAAAACTCGGTATTGTGGCAGAGAGGAATTTAATATGCCTGTATTTCAATTTGAAATTAAATATGATGAGGTAACTACAAATTATAATTGTGGTGTGAAGCACAGTAACAATAATAAAAACTAATAGGATTAATTCGTCCACACCGCAAATCATCAACAGTGTCAACAATATCTTACTACGGTATTAATAGGTTCTGGATTCGCTAGCTAGCCCCGGGCCAAATAGAGGTTAGTACAAATAGACCTCCAAACTGAGAACAAAACCTTCTCCTTCACAGGTAAGTATTATCACAGATTTAATGTTTAAATCTGTGGTATTATCATGAATGTAATTATTTGTAATTAAATGGTAAGAATTAAATCTTTTGATTTTAGTTTACATAACCCTTGAAGAGGGTTCACCAACTCAAAGCCACAAAAATTGTAAGTATGCAAATACAGGTTAATTATGATTAATTAATTTTATTCTCCAACTCTATTTCAGAACAAATGCAGATGCAGCAAGGTATGGTACCATTAAGTGCCAGATTTCAGGCGGCATCGGCAGAACAAAAAAGCTAAAAGTTATGAGCTACTCTATGTCTAGCTGAAGAGATAACTCTTCCTCAACTTTGTCATTATCCACCTGTAAACCATTCACGTCCCAGCTATTTAAGTTGTGATTTGCAGAGAGCACATTTTTCTTTGCTAACCGTCAAACCAGCGGATTTGAGACGAAAGAAAACTTCTTTGAGAATGGACAAATGCTTATCATGTGTAACAACCATGATGTCGTCTAAATAAAATACGTAAATGGCTCTAAGTCATTTGAAATAACTTTGTCAATGCATCTTTGCCAACTTGCAGGTGAATTGCTTAAACCGAAAGGAAGTCGTTTAAACAGTCGTCTATTAGGACTTGTAAATGCTGTAAATTGCTTAGAATCTTCCTCAAGAGGTATTTGATAAAATGCCGATTTAATGTCGATTGTGGAAAGATATTTGACGTTCTTTAGCTTGTCTAAAGTGGCGGAAACTTGCGGGATTGGATAGGTGTCCTTGGCTATAACTTTGTTTATTTTGCGAAAATCCACACACTATGTCGTCTTTCAAAAGTGCATCGAGTTCTTTGTTAATAGATTCCTGAACAATAGGGCTTACCGGATAATATTTCTGTTTTATTGGTCCAGAAGTAGTTATGATACGATGTTTTATTAAACGCTATAACATTTGGCATCTTTGAGAATATATCTTGTTGGAGTTTACGTACGGTGTGCTCTATAGGACGACTCTTTGCGGTTCCGCTAAATAATTCATTTCTACGAGTAAATAAGCAAACTTCATATAAACAATTATTTGTATATGAGTGCTAAAGTGTTTGGGGCTCTGGCAATATCATTCATATAGTGCTAAATGGCGGATTAATGATCAGGAGCACTAATATTGGTACCAGCGTTTCTTACGGTAATGTACATGTCTATAGTGTAAATAGTTTTTGACCTTGTTTCGCGTTATCGTATTTAAACCTGCATTATGGATGAAAGATTATCATTTATTAGTAATAAACAGTCGTATTCCACCAATACATCTCAATGTAAGCTTCCGATTCTCGATCAGTCGGAGCTAGAGAAGGAACTGCAGGAAGCTAATGAGTGCATTGTTGTACTAAAAAATGACGTATATACATTAAGATTAGAATTAGCCTCTCTCCATAAACAAAATGACCAGCTACGCACTCAAATTAAAGACAATCTAAATGAAAGCGTCTCGATGGAAGGCGTTTTAAACGAGGAGACCGCGAAACTTACTGCTTACATTTACGATTTGAAGATTCAAAATAAAAATTTATTAAAAGATCTATCTGATTTGAAAGAGTCGTGCAATAAGTGTGCTACCGTCTCCAACAAAATTTACATGTACTGACTTAGTAGTTGAGAATATGGCTACGCAGACGTTAGTTGATTTTGGAGCTCAAAAATGTAATATTGCCACATGTTCTTTTACTCAAACGATCAATGTTAATACATTGAGAAATTCGTGTACTCAAACATCAGAAATTGTTAAAAAAAATAAGAAATGAACTCCATCTCATAATAGTTATTTGTGTACCAAGGCCGTAAAAGTGATCTTTTTTGGCCGAAGCTGCTGTTTGTGGCCGAGGCGGTAGCCGAGGCCGCAATTCAGATGAGGCCTAACAAATCACTTTTGGCCAAGGTGCACACAACATTTTTTAGGCGATCATCAAAAAAGAATTCAAACATTTGCTCATAAACATATTTTTTCTGAAAATCATAGTTATCTTAGACAATTAAAAACAAAGCATTTCCTGTCATATGTAATAAATTATAATTAGCATTTTTGCGTGTGTTTTGTGCGTATCAAAATGGGTGATAGCGACAATTCAGATACCCAAAATGAAATTTTGGAAGCTGCAAGCGTTGCGACCCTAAGTCATATAGGTATGATATAAGAGCAGGCGTTTGAGAGTAAAAGTACAATCGCAACTTCCTCCGCTGCACAAGATTTTAATAATGTCAAATGCAATAGGTCCTTCGTAACTGTGGCTTCCAAGACCTTATAGTTAACATGCTGTACAATGATTAGAAACCTGATTACCTACTTTGATGGTAGGTATAGGTAGCTACTTGTGTTTTCGGTTAATTGCTGGTGATTCTTCGTATAATAATGTAAGCAATAACATCTTCCTCATGTTTTGGTTCTACACTTCAAAAAGGTCTGCAAGCAGCAAAGATTGAAACGTCAAACTATAATTTTAAATGTGAAGATTGTGATTATGCAAAATAGTGTGAAACATTCCTACAAGTCCGAAAATGAAAAAAACGAACGTGAATGGCCCAATCCTTGATGGGGCTACACCAGATAGACGCTTTGTATCAAACAGATTACTGTTTCTCACACATCAGTTTCAATAAAGTAAAGTTTGACAGAAGCGTACAATAAAGTGAAACTTTATGGCCGCAAAAGCGACCATAAAATCAACGCTTTTGTGATGATAGCCTAAAAAAACCATAAGTTAAATAGGGACACTAATGTAGAAGGTTCAGCATCTAATACACCTACACCAACTGCAAGCAATACGGTTGTAGTGGTAAAAAAAGTTCAGACAGTGAGCGTAATGATAAATCAATCATGGATGAAATATCTGTAGCAACCCAATTTATGAAGAAGGTGCCGGATACACTAACTTACTTGGACAAGATCGTTAAGGCCGACGATAAGGTTAAAGTATTGCCGCAGAATTTGGGAAAAGAGAGGGATGTCAATGTCACAATTAAGTACGATAACCAAGGTGAGAAGAAACATTGCAATAAATCGTCACGGGAATCCCCATCAACCGCCTACGCAACTAAAGGAACAGTCACACAGAGTTTTAATACTTGGTTTGCCATGCAAAGGCGCTGTGTGCGGAATATTGTAAATGCTGGCTACAGGGAGGACTGTCGCAATATCTTTAAATCGTTGCAAAACAGCTCCATCACAATACATTTTTGACTCAGTTTTGTTCGTTCATAGAAATAAATCAAATTATATAACGCATAAAAATGTTCATTCTTACAATACTCGGAACAAAAATCAAATATATAATGATAGATTACGATTAAAAACGTCGCAGGCGGCACATAATTATTGGGGCCCTGTGTTTACCGTTTACCTTCTTGTTTCCAATCTCTAAATGAATAACTTTTTTCCAAGAAACTTAAAACTTTTTTACGCGAAAATCCAATATATAACATCCAAGAGTTTTTAGATAACGACCTCAAGACTTTAACGCCTTAAGTTTTTTTTTGTTTTTGTATTTTTTTTTTGTTTAATTGTTTTATTTCGAAATGATTTTTCATGTTATTTAATATTGTTCTATATGTCTCATGTATTTTATGTTTATGTGTTATACGATTTCGACGGACGAGTGTAAGCATTTTTTAAATGTATTAACACAATAAATTACTTACTTGTAGGAAATTAATCAGCTTTAATTGTTCATTAGGTAATAATGCCGAATGAGGCAAATAAGGTTGATTTAGGTAGGGACACTTCATCCACTGCAAACTTCCAAACATTTTGGCTTAAATTTGGTACAATTTCCATTAAACGCCAGAAATCTGATCCTAAAATTATATTATGGATTAAGCTAGGAATCACTACAATATCTATTCATTTAACTCTTTCTTTCAATTTAATTGGCACTGTAACATATCCAGCTACGTCACAAAATTCGCCATTGGCGACGGTAACTTGAGTTATGTTTGATTTGGCTAACGGTAGATTTAAATGAGATAAAGAGTGCCATGCCTGTTTACCTAATGTAGTGCTTGACGCACCAGAATCTACTAAGCCAAGTAAAGGTACTCAAAAAATGGAAACTTCAAGATAATGTCTATTATCCTGGTTGTAGTGAGATAAAATAATAGTTATTTATGTATTAAGGGCATAATAGTGATGTTTATATTCTCGAGGGCGACGAGTTAAAAAGCTCGAGGGCCTATGTACGACTCCATGCGGTAATAGGTCAGTAATTCTATACAGGGTGTCCCTAAAAGGTCTGTACAACGCGCTACCAGGGGTTCTTGGTATCAAAATAGGACGATTTAACCCAACTTACCTCTATCCAAAAGTGCCTCAGTAAGGCGCTATCTACCGCCAAAGATTAAAAAAAAAATCGTTATTTTTATTTTATCGGAAAATGGTTTTGCCGATTAAAATGAAATTCGGGATGTGAATGTCTAATGTAAAAAGGGTCTTTGTGATATCATCCGTTTTGATTGTAGTTGCTATGTAGGTGGTAAAATACTGACCATCCACATCTGAAGAGGTCTAAAACTTTTTAACTACTATTTTGACAGTTCTGAATTTTTAGACACTGATAGACAGTTTACTTGCAAGCATTTTTTGTCTCTTGATGAATATCGCTATTGGTGATGGTTTACGAAAAAAAAAAAAATTTAGGCATGATGAATGGCATGCACCATACATGCGATTGTTCCTCAAAAACCATAAGTGCAAGCAAGAAGTAGGCTATGACGATTTGGAAACCTATGAGTATACTCCCTAACGCATTGGCGACCATTTCCACGACAGTATCCAAACACTAATAGCATATCAGTTAACTCTGCGTTACTGTATTGAAAGGCCATATTACAATTTTAACAATGAAATTTTAAGTCTTCAAGCAAAACGTAAATTGTTCAAGTTTAAGAAACAACAAACAAACGTTACGCCACTCTAAGGTTTCACAGCCATCTTCTGATTTTTTGAGGAACAATCGCATGTATGGTGCATGCCATTCATCATGCCTAATTTTTTTTTTTCGTAAACCATCACAGATAGCGATATTCATCAAGAGACAAAAAATGCTTGCAAGTAAACTGTCTATCAGTGTCTAAAAATTCAGAACCGTCAAAATACTAGTTAAAAAGTTTTAGACCTCTTTAGATGTGGATGGTCAGTATTTTACCACCTACATAGCAACTATAATCAAAACGATGATATCACAAAGACCCTTTTTACATTAGACATTCACATCCCGAATTTCATTTTAATCGGCAAAACCATTTTCCGATAAAATAAAAATAACGATTTTTTTTAAATCTTTGGCGGTAGATAGCGCCTTACCGAAGCACTTTTGGATAGAGGTAAGTTGGGTTAAATCGTCCTATTTTGATACCAAGAACCCCTGGTAGCGCGTTGTACAGACCTTTTAGGG